GGTTTTCAGAGAGAGTTATAGAGAGAACATTTGTATCTAAACTTCAGTTCTGGAGAGAGTTCAATAGTTTCTATAACTTTAGTTCTAGAAAGTGTTCACTAGTTTCTATATTTTAGTTCTAGAGAGTGTTCACTAGTTTCTATATTTTAGTTCTAGAGAGTGTTCACTAGTTTCTATATTTTAGTTCTAGAGAGTGTTCACTGGTTTCTATATTTTAGTTCTAGAGAGTGTTCACTAGTTTCAATATTTTAGTTCTAGAAAGTGTTCACTAGTTTCTATATTTTAGTTCTAGAAAGTGTTCACTAGTTTCTATATTTTAGTTCTAGAAAGTGTTCACTAGTTTCTATATTTTAGTTCTAGAGAGTGTTCACTAGTTTCTATATTTTAGTTCTAGAAAGTGTTCACTAGTTTCTATATTTTAGTTCTAGAGAGTGTTCACTAGTTTCTATATTTTAGTTCTAGAGAGTGTTCATGGCTCTACATGCCGTTTCTATGAATGAGTTTTAAAGAGTTATCCCAAGTTTCTAAAAATGTTGTTTTTGAGAATGTCTACTAATATTTATAAATGAGTTTGTAATCCATGGCTTATACATGTCATCACCATGGAAACTTATAATCACACATATAATATCACTATATACAATGAATTTTATATAAGGGACCGTCTCAAAATTTCAACAGCTGCGTCCAAACGAATAATCCGTTAAACTGGGCAGGTTAGTGGGTTGAACAACATCATAGATAGAAAATGATAAATTAAATATCGGTTCATTAACAGTTAATCATGAACTGAAATATGTCACCATTTCTTGGTGCGGACAGGCAGGTGGGTGGGTGGGGTCGAGATCTATCTGTGGGTTAAGACGTAATTGTTAGGACGTAATTTTTGGAATTTTGAGAAGCTCTCTAAATAAATGTACATGAATATATACAATATAATAATAAAATAAATACATAATTTCAATTATTACATCAAAAACCATCATACATGAAATCACTGCATCATGAATTAACTGTGAAATGAATAACTGAGCTAAATATTCAAAAGTACATTTAATTGTATTGATTTTACGCTGCCATCTTCTTACATGTGGAAAATACAGCAATAACAATTTCTTTTCATCAACGAAATGAAATTGGGTTTAACGTCCTACTGTTATACATCGATTTTCGAATTCCAACCGTAAAGGATTCTTTTTTGTGCACGCCAATGTGTACACAGAACCTCAGTTTTTTGTAATATATGAATGATTAGACACTGTTCCTTGTCAGGTCCTCCGTCCTACACTGTTCCTTGTCAGGTCCTCCGTCCTACACTGCTTGAAAATCCAGAGAACTTTCTCAGCCAATATCAAGAGTTTAACGTCCACTCGACGCAAACTAGGTCATTTCGGGACTAACATACGGTATACTTTTTTTATTTCAATAAATTCGAAACCACGCCAGTTGACTCAATGACAGGCTTTATGATACAGCACGCACATGCTAACCATTCGGCCATCCAACCCCCCTTCTTACTTACAGACCTACCCTGGCTCCCCCATTTTATTTTATGAACTACTGCATTCTTTATTCATCTATATTGTAAAATATATTCTTTTTATTATTAATACATAACAACAGAAATCTTTGCAGCAAAATATTATAATATTTTAAACTTCTGACATATTTGGGAATATTCTGATAAACTGAATTGCTTCCCTTTAATAGTCGTTCGGATGGCACAAAAAAAAAGAGGTACTGTGTACACATTGGCATGCATGTAAATTATCCCGTAGTGCAGCTGTCCGGGCAAAATTTTACTCATAGCACTCTGTATGACGTATGCCTCAGTCGTTGTTTGTGTTTCAGAGGAGAGCAAAAAAACGCTCCCTTCAATCAACGAATTGAAAAAATCGCTCCCCTCAAAAAACTCTCCCAGTTTTGATAAGAAGAGTGAATTAGAAATTAATAAGAGTGATCTGATATTAAGGAGGGTGGTTAGTTATGTGCATGGGAAATGATTCTAAGATCAATAACTGCATGTAATGGGGACATTCCTGGTTTCATAAATGATAATAAACCCCCAATGACTATGTAAAGGAGAGTGAATTGCCGTTTTAAGGGGAGGAAAAAAAAACTCCCCACAGTTGACATTCAGGTGCGCGGCAGGTGCTTGAGAACGATTGCTCGCCTTAAAGAACAATGACTGATGCCTGCCCTTGACTTCTCATTAGTCTGATCAGTGTAGAATAGTAGGACGTTAAATCAAATTTCATTTTGCTTCCCTTTAATTTTCAACATTTTCAATTCTAAAGTCCACAATCATCACATGAACATCATGTGTGTAAAAATTTCATGTTTAACAGTAATAAATTGATGTAATGAAGTAGACTTTGTACTTTGATTCTTAATGACATAAATTAAGTAAATATCGTGTCATAAATAAATTGATCACAGATCTATTTTATCAAAATTTGATGACTTCAGTATAAACTTGAGATTAATAAATTATTTTGTTGATATTAGGCATCGCACTTCACCGAAGAAGTCTAAAGATAAATTGCAACTGGTGAAGAATAGAGAGAAAATTTAAATCCTTTAAAATAGCTTTTAAGTTATTGTTCATGATTTTAGGAAATGGTAGGTTATAATAGTCACCACTGGAACATAAAAATTTCAAATTAAAAATTTAAGTGATCATGAACAAGGACATCTTAATATAAAATATATTACTACAGAACAACATGAAAAGAAAGATTGAGAAACTATAGTATTTTAAACATATAATTATATAAGAATATATAACATATAAACAGCTTTTAGAATACCACTGAAAAAAAACATTGTGACAAAATGTCCTGGATGAAAACCATCAGTCAAAAAAGCTTTTGATTTTTTTATGGTTATCATTTAAATCAAAAGAATTATATCAATGGCTACAGTCCAGCATTTGACTGTCTTAATATTCTAGATTCAAATTTCTTATATAGTTCAATCATATGTAAAAGAAATTAGAAAAGACAATTGGATGTTGACGAAATGGTATGTGTCATAGTCCCTGATTTATAAAAATACACATTTTTGACAGGCCAAATAATCACTAAAGAATATAAATCAATTTAAACAATAAAAAGCACATTTTGTAAGAGAAATATCAAAGCATTCTTTAACATTAAAGAAGCAGGCTATAGGTTTATATGAGCAAATAATTATTGATCCACAGTTAATATATTTACGTCACCAACAAAGTAGGATCAAAATGTTTAGTATAATAACAGAGGGATCTTTTAAAGACACTTGCTTCGTCTTTTTTAAATTTACCAAATCCTTACAATTACAAGGAAAACATTAAATGGGTATGTACACATTATGTACATGTATTACAGGTTTTTCATAAACTACTTATTCTTAAATTCATATTAAAGGGAATAAGATTCCATAGGGGGAAATGCTCAAAAAGATATAGTAAGCAATCTAGCAATGCCTCAAGAGACTCACAAGAAATATTGCATGCTCTGAAAATCCAGCAAGAAGTTATTTTCATTGCATTAGCGATTTATTAGCAGTTTTAAATGCTCTGAAGTGCTTCAAGCAAAATCACACACAATATAATCTCCAATGCATTGAAGATCTTCAATACTCTGAATAAATATTGCATGCTCTGAAAACCTAGCAAAAAGTTTTCATTGCATTAAAGATTCATTAGCAGTTTTAAATGCTCTGAAGTGCATCAAGCAAAATCACACAAAATAAGATCCCCAATACTCTGAAGACACCCCCACTCACCCCAACACTCCCCTGGGAATCTGAAGATATTGTGTGCTTGCTCACATCTTCAGAGCTCTTTCTTCCAATATCTGAGTTTACATTAGCTACATTCAAAGTTAAATAAGTTGAAAGGACTAAAGACGAATCAGTTTAACGATTTTTGTCAAGGTAGTTATTGGTTGTTCTAGAAGTTTGATTTTAATGCATCAAATTAAAGAAATCGCACTTCATACTTTTATTATTAATGACTCTTACTATTTCTAGTTTTCATAATCATCCATACCTTTTTTTTTCACATTTCACATCTATTTTATTTATTTCTAATCTAACTGATTTACTCATCAGTTGGCCCTAGTTACCAACAGGCCCGTAGCTAGTTACAGCCCTGGTTACCAAAGTACTAGTATGCACGGTATTTCACCACATTAAACAAACTTGCACATATAAATTATACATAGTACTGTAATGTTCTGGCCCCATACTTAAGTTAACTAAGTTAACAATTTACTCAAAATTGTTCAATAAATCAAGTTTATAACTGGTCACTGTTTCACTAAACATTCTCAGGCATAAGGTAAGAATTTATTCAAAATTGTTTGCCTTAATTCAACTAATATATAGTCACAACAAAACACATACTTAAAGAACATAATATATAGTCCTTTATAAAAACTTTTCTTGTTTTAATATATCAAATACATCAATAAGAAACTAAGTTCAAAGTTTTGTGTTTCTGGATCAAAGATATTTCTCATACACAATAATTGAAAGTTGAGTAAATTCTTCACTTAAATCTGAGAATGCTTTGTAAACTCAGGGCCTGGTCACAAGAAACAAATCATGACTAAAGTTTAAGTCCAACTGAGAAGAATACCACAGATAACACTACTATGTGATATCAGCTCTGTGTGTCATTGTGGAACATCTACATGCAATTTGTTCTATAGTTTAATCCGGCCATCAGTGGTGGACTGGGTCTGAAAATATTGGTTGCCAGGAGACAAAGCGGGCCCACCCACCAATACAATTCTATCATTTAATTTTTAAAATGAATAAATTAAATTTTCAAAAAATATGTAAGTGGAAACAAGAAAATGTACTTAGAATTTTCATGCTAATAATTATTTTCTAATATTTATATATTTTTTGATAATTTATATTTTAAATATATTGTCTAATGTCTAAGGGTGCCCAGTTCCTCAGGGGCCTACTTGCCATTGGGGAAACTGACAATTTGGCCAGTCCGTCACTGCAGGCCATTATTGTTTCCACACATTTTACAATTTATCAGGTTTCAGCTGCTTTTCAGCAGATGCAGAGGTTGCATATTTCATGATATTTGTTTGCTGCTAGCTAGCAATAAACAGCACATGAATTGAAATACAACCTTGATGTTTGAAGGGTTTTGTTTTGGAGACAATAAACAATATGATATGTTGATTAGAATATTCATAAATTAAACGTAGAAAAAAGAATATCAATTCTTTAGCACTCGGAGAAAATTTGAGAAAATGTCCCAATCTACTGTTCCTTAGACTGATTCAAACTGCCTTAGTTATTTAAATATTTCTATGTATTGGAGGTCCGTGTATTAGCTCTTGAGTTTTTCATGTGACTTAGTCGTCTTGGGCCAGTCTAAAGAGCACTAGTTACCTTCGGTTTCGGGCGTTCCAAGTCCTAAAGGATTAATGAAAACTAGTTCCAACTATAAAATAATGTTGTTAAAATTTCTTAATCTATATGTTCAATTCAAATTCATTTTTCAAACACTGACCTGCAATATAACTTTAAAATTTACATCACAAATAAATGCAATGACGACAAACACAAAATGAAATAAAATGAAGACTTTGATTTGTATGAGCAAAAATATGATGACAGAGTTACAATATATTATACAAATATGTTTCTGTTCATGTTGTGATCATAGCTAGTGACGTCTGCCATCACACAATGGGAGAAGTCATTGTTGTAGTCGAGAACGATCCATTCATGAAAACTGACTGGTTGTTTTTTGCAAGACAATATGGCATCTCTCTGCCATGACTACAGCCTTCTCCACTGGCTGCGTTAATAATGGCTAAAATGGAACCGACAATAGCTACGAGAATACCAAACGTGGCTGTAAGGATTGGTCCAATGTTTCCTCTGGAGAAGAGAGCCTCTTGACGTAGTCTCATGACACATAATGATGGAATGATGTAAGCTAATGGCGCCGCTGCTAAAACACCCTATAAATAAAAATTACATTTACCATAAATACAAACGGTTGTCATTTCAGACCTGTGAATGAACTATCATTCATCTAGATTAATTTCTGTGACCTTTCAGAAATTTGACACATGGAAATGAGTGTTGAAACAATTTGAAAATATCTGTGCGATACCCCCAACCATTCACCAGTACCTTAACCACAAAACACATGGATAAACCTTTACAATAAAAGATTAAGCTCCCTTTACACTCAACATTGATCATAGATAACTGTTTGAAAACCGAAGAGAGAGAGAGAGTTCACCTCCACACAACACAAACTAGGTCATTTCGGGACTAACATATTGTTCAATTTTATTTCAATAATTTGCTTGCGCATAGGGGTCTTTAGCAGTGGGAGGGAACCAGAGCACATGGAAAAAACCCACAAGGTTGAACAGGCGACCCTTCTCCTTGTCACGTACAACCAGGGAATTGATTCAATGACAGACCTTATGATTCAACGCGCACTCGCTAACCATTCAGCCATCCAACCCCCCTAATAAAAGTTAGATCAACACAATTTATCACTTTATTCAGGGTTGTTGTAGTTCTTCTTAGTGTTTAACATTCGTTTCCACCGAAGGTGAAATCGCAGACAAGTCTTATTTTTTTATTTTCATTATCTCAGCGCACGCACAGGGGTCTTTCTTGTGGGAGGAAATCGGAGTACCCGGTGTAAACCTACGAGGTTGAGAAGGCGTCCCTATTTCCAAGCCACATACGCTCACACCAGGGATCAAAACCACAGCCAGCAAGCTAGAGGTCGAAGCACAACACTCTAGACCACTAGGCCATCTCAACCCCCCTTAATTCAGGGCTAAATCATACAGTATTATGGTATATCACAAGGATCCTGTGTTTACCATTTACATATGAAGAAAAAAAGGTGAAAAACATTCTAGAATCTAAACACAGATATTCTAGACAGTAAGAGTAGTTTCTCACCTTTTTTTTTATTAAGGTTTTTATTTTTCAAAATTCAAATATTTTTCATGTATATTATTGTTTTTATTTTTCAAAATTCAAATATTTTTCATGTATATTTAGCCAGGTGTGCCGCTATTTTTTTATGTGTTCCACGGTGTGCTGTTGGCAAAAAAATGTTGAGAACCACTGCCTTAATGTATGAATCTTAATTTAAATATTTGTTTACTTACGTTAAATTCTAGAACGATACCGAGACAGTCTGTAGACATAGATACAGCTGCCGTCAAAAATACTATAATCAATGTGACTGTCATGTGACGCCAAAATGGAGTCGGGGGATTTGAGGGGAATACAGCATTTTCTATAACCTAAAATATTAAATAAAAACAGAACATTTAATTTGAAGGATATTGTTTTGTTTGTGTTTCTGCACCAACTGTACGTGCTAATGAAGACTGATATACACCTGTAGAAATGAAATGAAGTTTAAAGGACTATATTGGTGCCAGTCGTTATCACATCTGTGATAGAACTTGTTAAACACGTTCCCAATATTATTTTATCACAGAGTTCATTGCTACGACAGGTGTGTAATAAATGCTTCAACAAACGGAAGTGACGAACGCAAGAGGAAAACACGAGTTATCCCTCTATATAACTGATTGAAGTGACGAGTGATAACAGTTACATGGGCGAATTTCTGCTCACTAATAATTCCTTCGAAGACCAAAAGTTGTTATATGAGTATATCTGACAATTCAAAAAAGTAATTGAATGTCACTAGATAAGAGAACATGAGAAAAATAGAAACAGTCCGTATATTCACGTGTGTTTATTCATTCTATACTTATAAAAACATGGTAATGCACAGACTTTTTCTATTTTTCTTTCATGTTCTCTTATCTATTACGCATCTATCGTAACAATGATCTCAGTGATAAAATAATTTGGAACGTGTTTAACCAGTTCTATCACATATGTGATAATGACTGGCACCAATATTGTCCTAGTGTTCGGCACCAACTGTACGTGCTAATGATCATTGATATACACCTGTAGAAATGAAATGGGGGTTAAGGTCTTACTGTTGTGCACCAACTGGGCTATTGAAGACAGGTACACCATGAGGGAAATTTTGGCTGGACACAGGGGTGGATACAGAGGGGATGTTTGGAAGGTTCCCCCCACCCCCTTCTCAGCTACATAAAGCAATTTGTAAAATAACACTTGTCTCAGGAACATGGCAAACACCCTCCTGCAAAAATTTCGGATCCGCCCCTGGGACAGTGGATTTAATATCCATTTTATAAACAAAATAGTCATGGAATATCAATTTGAAAAATTAATGAAAAAACATAAACATAATATAGTATATTCAAGTATATATTTACCTCTCTGGTTACAAAACATTCTACAGGATATGTTAACATGATAGTTATAGAGAAGGCTAAACGTACAATATTCATCAAAGTATCATTATGACAATAATTCTCCATTAAATCACCTGTAATTATAAAATACATCAATTACACTCATATTCTTTTACAGTGACTAGAAAATAAATCAGTTTAATTCATATTCTTTTACAATAAGACTTCATTAATTTATCTGGGACTAGAAAAAAAATCAGTTTCATTCATATTCTGTTACAATAAATCTCCATTAAATCATCTTAAAATACAGATGTGACGTCATCCTTTGATGTTGGCGTACCATTATTTCAAATAATGGTACAGGCAATGTGCCAAGCGTACATTATTTATACTAGTTAATAATTTTGGACCCATGTGACGTATTCCATTGCAAAGCATGTGCAAGTGTCTCTATTTTAAATTGTTTAATGGTCTCGAGCTTATAAGACATTGAATAATATATTGAAACAACAACTCGGAAGTAACGTCCCTTGTGTTATTTCAATATATTACTTAATGTTTCGCTCTCGACCATTAAACCACACTTAAAAGTCATGAGCAATAAGAATCACTTGCAAACTACAATATTGTAAACAATTCATCTCTAATCAGAATAAGAGTCCCAAAATGGTTCAATTCCGTTCAGTACTGTATTTACAAATTTCATGCAATAAGCCCACAGCCATTTTGTTGCCCATGAAAATTTAATGATAGGCCATTTTAAATCTGATTGAATCCAACAAGCAGGGAAATAATCTGGCTTTTGATTTGTTTTCTTCATTATCAAATGTTATTCAATAGGTGTAAATATCAGCATGGATTAAGCCGTGAGAAATTTGATATTTTAGAGACAAATGCCAAAGGCACATCGTTACAGCTATCATACATCTTTACAGGATCTATCACATTAACTTTGGTTAACTATCACTATAATAGGATTTGCTATTTCACGGTTTTTGATTATACGGTTAAAGAGGAACCCTCACATTAACTAACATTAGAAATGTTACATTAAAATTTATAAATTATACAGCATTATTTTACAGGTTTTTATTGAATGGTAATACACTCAAGCAATAGATGTTGCTCGTGGCAGTAGGTCAATGTTTCAAATTTTTGATAAATTGTTAAAATAGGTTCTATAAACAGGCAGATGTTACCACATGTTAGACAGATATAAACAGACAGATACAAACAGACAGATGTTATGTGTTGGACAGATATAAACAGACAGACATTATGTGTTAGACAGATATAAACAGACAGATGTTATACGTTGGACAGATATAAACAGACAGATGTTATCATGTGTTAGATATAAACAGACAGATTTTATACTTTGGACAGATGTAAACAGACAGATGTTATGTGTTGGACAGATATAAAAAAAGAAGATGTTATATGTTGGACAGATATAAACAGACAGATGTTATGCGTTGGACAGATATAAACAGACAGAGATGTTATATGTTGGACAGATATAAACAGACAGACGTTATGTGTTAGACAGATACAAACAGAGAGATCTTATCATGTGCTTGAGAGAAATGGGGTTTAACATCCACTCGACACAAACTAAGTTATTTCAGGACTAGCATAGAGGGTTCAATTTTGTTTACAATTTTATCAAATAATTCTCTTGTTAGTCAAGCTCTTTAGCAGTAGGAGGGCCCCGAGAAAACCTCCATGTTGGACAGGCGACCATACACCTTGTCACATACAAGCTGGGAATCAAAACCACACCACTTAACTCAATGACAGGACTCAATCATCTAACACACGTGCCTAAGACCAATTGGCCACCATCTCCCGACCCACCTCCTGTTGGACTGATATAAAAAGATTAATCTTACCTTGTGTAAGACCAGTAAATGATACATAGCCAATCACACCTAGTATAACACACATAACAGCAGCGAACATAATACTGCCATGGGTAACGATATGCCAGCGTTTTGGTGTAGGATTATCCAGTGATTGGTATATAAGGAATGTATTATGATGGCACATGTAGGCTGAAATATTAAACAAAACAAAATCGTATTAAAGATGCATTATGTAAGAGCTAATTCTACGCACTGCAGGTCTTTATTTTGGCTTCAAATGTTATGTAAACTATCATTTAAAATGTATTTACATGGCAAGCCCATAATCAACACTCTAGGCCATGGATGGCTCTGATTTTAAGTAGATTGTATGCCGTCTATGACTTGCCATGTTTTTATTTTGCAAAATTCAAATATTTGTCATATATATTTAGCCAAGGTGGTGCCGTTGGCCAAAAAAGGTTGAGAACCACTGATCTATACACAACATATTCCTAAATAACATATCAAAGGTACAGAAATACACTCTAACATAGTCCCTTTTGAACACAAGACCGGGACGCTTACGACTAGCCCCCTTGATCCATTCACCTAATCTGATATGTACGTTTGTTTGTGATTTTTGCATATTGTATCTTGTCCGTAAATTTGTCTTGTGTAATTGTTTGTGTGTGGTGCTGTCCCCCTGCAATCTCTAATAGAACAAAACAGCTAATTTAATAAATATCATTATTTCTTCTTTAAGTGGCATTGAGTAATTGAACAGTAACAGACTAACACTATTCATGGAATAACAATTACTGATTTATTAACATGCAACAAGCAAATCATTTACTTGATAAAGACGAGTAATTGAACAGTAACAGACTAACACTATTCATGGAATAACAATTACTGATTTATTAACATGCAACAAGCAAATCATTTACTTGATAAAGACGAGTAATTGAACAGTAACAGACTAACACTATTTATGGAATAACAATTACTGATTTATTAACATGCAACGCTTCGACCATGATACTCTCGTCTTTATCAAGCAATCATCGAAACTTTGCACGTTAATAAACCAGTAATTGGTATTCCATATCCAGTGTTAGTGTGAATGACATTATTTTAAAGCAGCTAAGTCTCTAACTCAATATCATCCAAAATCTTCGACATTGAAAACACAAATTATTTGTCAATTTAAATCAACATTGATGGTGTGATCTTACTGGGAAAAGGTGGGCTTCTGATATCCAATATTTAAGACAAAATAAACATTTTACCATTGGTACACGAATCGTGTACCATAATGCGTTTCAGTGCCATTTGTAATAAGGGACTCAAAAAACGAGGCTAGGTATATTTCACCAGTCATGTCAGACGGTTACCCCATATTCTTATCTGTTGAGCATTCGCAATAAATACTATCGGTGTAAAGTGGAATTACCAGACACTAGAGATTGCCATTTGATTGAGACTTCTGGCGTATTTCGCCGAACATAACCGATTAGAAATTAGAGTAGAAACAGAAACGATTGAATGTAAATCAGTTTATATACATTCATATTACATTATTATATGCGTAGCGACCCATTTGTGTCAATTTCTAGGTCCCAAATATTAGCGATTTAGCCCCTTTAAATGTACTTTTATCTTTATGTAACATAGGTCTTACATCGACCTAAAGATAACAAACACTCACCGAATGCTAAGATAGCAATAGCTTGAGTGACATTGTAATTACCAAACTGCCAGGCATTTGGAGTGGCAGGTCTGAAAACACAAGACAAGTAATTTGTATAATACATATATTATATTCTTTAACATGGCAACAATATAAATCTTTTATATAATCAACATGTCTATTCTTAGGTCACATCAAAATTGATTTTCTGTGCCTCAGAGTCTAGAATAGGCTAGATGAATACAATAGGCACTTGAATCACATGAAAGATGTTTTGTTTCAAAAGTTAAAGTTAACAATAATGCCCTTTTGAAAACTTGTGCAAATATTTCGCAAACATCCTTAAGGATTTAGAATTCGTATTTTGAGAGATAGAGAGAGAGAGAGAGGAGAGAGAGAGAGGGTTTTAGGTCCATTGGGCACAGAGTAGGTCATTTCGGGACTAACACATGGTTCAATTTTATTTCAATAATTCACTTGCGTGTAAGGGTCTTTAGCAGTGGGAGGAAACCTGAGGTCCCGGAAAAAACCCACGAGGTTGGACTAATGACCCTACTCCTTGTCACGTACAACAGGGAAATCGAAAACACACCAGTTGACTCAACGACAGACCGTATGATAGAGGACACGTGCTAACCATTCGCCATCCAACCCCCGAGAGAAATGGGGGTTAACGTCTACTTTGCACAGACTAGGTCATATGCTTCAATATCATTTCAAATGAATAAAATAGCCATTTGTATCTTGTGAAAGATGTCTTGTTTAAAATTTCAAAGCTTAAAAATTTGGAACTTAAAACTTTTGAACAGCACAACAAACCACTCATTGGTTTTTAAATTAAAATGTGTCTCTTTTTCCTGAAAAACTAATTAAGAAGCAAAATTATTATAATTGTTCCCAAAGAACAGAAAAATAAATTTGTGTGGCCTTGGTTCTTAGATATGAATTAAATGTGATCGGGGAATTTGGTATGGATGGTAAGTTTGGTAGGTTTGAATATTGTAGGGATGAGGATTATGTAGGGGTGGTATTTTATACTGGTAGGCCTTATGTAGGGGTGAGATTTTATACTGGTAGGCCTTATGTAGGGGGGGGGATTTATACTGGTAGGCATTATGTGGGGGGTGGGATTCTATACTGGTAGGCTTTATGTAGGGGTGGGATTTTATATTGGTAGGCCTTATGTGGGGGGTGGGATTCTATACTGGTAGGTCTTATGTAGGTGTGGGATTTGATACTGGTAGGCCTTATGTAGGGGTGAGATTTTATACTGGTAGGCCTTATGTAGGGATGGGATTTTATATTGGTAGGCCTTATGTAGGGGTGGGATTTTATAATGGTAGGCCTTATGTAGGGGTGGGATTTTATAATGGTAGGCCTTATGTAGGGGTGAGATTTTATACTGGTAGGCCTTATGTAGGTGTGGGATTTTATACTGGTAGGCCTTATAGGGACGGGATATTATAATGGTTGGGTTATGTATTATAATAGTGGGCTTACATATGTGTAGGATTTTCCACTGATCAAGTTAGGGATTATGTATAGGCCTAGTTGATATTTTGCCCTGATGGGATTACGTATAGTTGATATTTTGCCCTGATGGGATTATGTATAGTTGATATTTTGACCTGATGGGATAATGTATAGTTGATATTTTGCCCTGATGGGATTATGTATAGTTGATATTTTGACCTGATGGGATTATGTATAGTTGATATTTTGACCTGATGGGATTAAGATCTGTCAGGATGTTATATGATCGGGGGCTTTGAACTAGTTGGGATTTTATCTTGAATGATGTACGGTTGAACTTTTGTACTGTTGGGGTGGGATTACAGTTGGTTGTCATTTTGTACTTTTAAGGATAGAAACTAAACTTAAATTGGTACTAAAAATAAATAGTACTTACATATCTTTGGCAAAAGTAGCTAATCGAACTGTTATACCCACTAATATGAAAAATATCAGCAGTATGGATAACAACGCCCACTGAAACAATAAATTAAACGTTGGTTATTTATTATTGATCACAAACGGAAATATGTCAACATTATCCTACTCCATTGGCACCGATGGGCAGGTGATTTATTTGAAATCGATCAAACGGTTAATCATTTCGATGGCCTACACTACATATGTAGATCTAACAAGTTATAGTGGGAGTTCACTTCTATTACGTCAGGTACCAAGCAATCGACATTTGACCCGATTACGTCAGTCATTCGATTAACCAATTATCGACCGCCATATATTTTTTATCTACTTTTGCTTTGTTTTGATTTCTATTGCCGCTAATGTCTACCCACAGTTCCGCACAAAAAAGGTCAACCGCTCGATTCGACAGACCATTTGATTGGCTGAACCCTCATTTCAAGCAGAACACAAGTTAAATAACAATGCTTCCAGATCCAAGTGTAGTAAAGACAAGTAAAATCGAAACGAAATTGGATCTGTGTTTTAATCAGATTGTAAGTGTGATAAAAAATTATTCAAATTACATGAAAGAAAGAAAGAAATGGGGTTTAACGTCCTCTTGACACAAACTAGGTGTCAATGACTCAATGACAGACCTTGTGATTTCATGCGCATGTGTTAAACCACTAGACCATGAACCCAACCCCGCTAAATTACATGAAATAAACGTGTATGTGTGGCTATTTCTCCGTAATTCACATGTAGACTTATTGTTTATATAATCCTCAGATTATGCTACAAATTCTACCAGACATCCCATAATGATCTAAATTAATGTCACATTTTAACAGTAATGCGTTTTTGAAAACTTAAGGATTTAGAATTCATATGTCTATATATAGAGAGAAATGGGGATGAACGTCTAATTTACACACACTAGGTCATATGGTTCAATTTTATTTCAATAACTAGCGACTGACTTGGTGTAGTACGGGTATAGTCATGAACTGGAAGTGGTAGTCCATCACCACCAGAGCTATGTTACTTCCTGGTTCGAGCTTCCCAAATACACCAAATTTCAGCCTCTGGACAGACCTAGTGTAGCTGCCAACCCTGAACAGACAGACGGGCAAACAAACAAACAAACAAACAAACAACAGTCACAAATATTAGTATTAATATGCTTGTGCTTAGCTGTGGGAGTAAACCCCGAGGACTAGGAGAAAACCGATATGGCTGGACAGACGACCCAACTTCTTGTCACCCACTTGACTCTATAACAGACCTTATGATCTAAAGCATACACATTAGTCCAGTCGGCCACCCAATCGTCACAAGTCTAAGATTCTGTAGGAAATTCTAATCCTAAAATAATAAATAAACCATAACACATACTTATGGAAAACAGCGACTGATTTATTTAGGCGACGTTTCGAAGAGTATTCTCTCAACGTTTTCAAGCTAATGAAAATAATAATTCCTACCTTTCCTAAGCGTGAAATATTTCTGTATAATGATAATGGTAATGTCACCAGTAAGGTACTAAGGAATATAATAAACTGGCGATTTCCTAAAATCGAATGTACCATCGAATCACCTAAAAAAAAAAAAAAAAAAATAATAAAAAATAATTGATTTATATAGCTCCAACAATTCAACTCAGCGAGCTGCTCTCAGGCGCTTTACATAAGTACAACTAATATATAATTACAACAATCACAACACATTAATACATAAAAAAAAGACATAAACAAAAAACAGAGAATATTATTTAGTACACATGGTAGAAGTCTGACACAAACACAGCTAGAACCATATATATATATTATTAAATCAAGTTTCAACAGTCTTTTGACAACAAGTTGCGTGTTAAGACCATACAACCAATGCATATAAAAAAACATTGAATACAACATATCGGAAGGCTGGTTATACGATACAATGGTTATATGCGTTGTATGGCAAAATGATCCCTGTGCTGCGTTATTTGTTTGTTCTTAGTAACTGAATAAAATGGCGTCGTTTAAAGTAGGAAGTTTAAAAAAGCATCATTATGATGCTGTGGGTTCCATAATATTTTTATTGCATTATTGTTTTTATGTTATATTACATTTTCCTCTCATTTATTGATAATAAATGGCCTATTCAATTTCATGTCGTCTCCTGTCATATATGTACATTAGGACACTTAATGGAGGCATAATTGTCTGTCGTCATGTCACAATAAAAGTCATTTCCGTGTCAGAGTTATTAGATGCTCAAATTCAGTCGCGGATAGTTTTAGATCTATTTGAGAACAGAATAGGTCACCTTTAATAGATAAAAAAAAAATTAGCAGGAATTCTGGTTGCAAGTCAGATATGATGTCATACACTGTATTAAGCAATTTGATTGGCCATTATTGAATGAGTCTGTCAGATGAGAATTGAACTGGTCCTATTCATACAACAAGCTGTCCATCTGACCATTTGTTTGACGAGTTGGGGTCGGATGTGACCATTGAATGTAAACGCCGCTTAAATCCAAAATTCAGAGAAAACCCCAAAGGTTAGGCTGACAGGAAGGCAACCTTACACCTTGTCAAGTACCAGGATGACCACTTGACCATCCAATACCCTCTGGTGTAATTGATTAAATAGATGGAAATGAACTTGTATTTGGTTCCTGTCTGTAGAATAGAAACAGGTTATCAGTCACGGTCATCAAGGCTACCTATACTGTGATAACAGCACTAATAGAGAGATAGAGAGAAATGGGGTTTAACGTCCACTCGACACAAATTAGGTCATTTTGAGACTAACATATGGTTCAATTTTATTTCAATAATTTGTTTACGCGTAGGGGTCTTTAGCAGTGAGAGGAAACCGGAGGACCCAGAAAAACCCTACAAGGATAGACAGACTACCCTACTCCTTGTCTTGTACAACCAGGGAATCGAAACCACACCAGTGGACTCAATGACAGACCTTATGATACAACGTGCATGTGCTAACCATTCGGCCATCCATCCCCCCACATCACTAATAGATGTGGAGAATAATACCAGTATACCTAATGGTGCATCTAGGTAGGAGGCCTAGGCCTTACCCACGCCCCTAAATACCAGTATACCTAATGGTGCATCTAGGTAGGAGGCCTAGGCCTTCCCCACGCCCCTAAATACCAGTATACCTAATGGTGCATCTAGGTAGGAGGCCTAGGCCTTCCCCACGACCCTAAATACCAGTATACCTAATGGTGCATCTAGGTAGGAGGCCTAGGCCTTCCCCACGCCTCTAAATACCAGTATACCTAATGGTGCATCTAGGTAGGAGGCCTAGGCCTTCCCCACGACCCTAAATACCAGTATACCTAATGGTGCATCTAGGTAGGAGGCTTAGGCCTTCCCCACGACCCTAAATACCAGTATACCTAATGGTGCATCTAGGTAGGAGGCCTAGGCCTTCCCCACGACCCTAAATAACAGTATACCTAATGGTGCATCTAGGTAGGAGGCCTAGGCCTTCCCCACGACCCTAAATAACAGTATACCTAATGGTGCATCTAGGTAGGAGGCCTGGGGTAGAAGGCCTTCCCCACGACCCTAAATAACAGTATACCTAATGGTGCATCTAGGTAGGAGGCCTGGGGTAGGAGGCCTTCCCCACGACCCTAAATAACAGTATAAAAAGATTCACTTAATTCTGTTTCTATAAAACGTGTAATCTATGTAAATGGTTTCACTATGAATTTCATATATATTGACCTAAATGTCAAATTAATATGCCACCTGGCGGACTCCCACTCTAGGATTTCCTCTTCCGAAGCTAGCAGCGGGTCAGCGATATCACTTCGGTGGAAGCGGATGTTAAATACAGCTATCTCTCCCTCTCTCTCTCTCTCTCTCTCTCTCTCACTAAATGTCATTGTGCTTTATAACGATAAGAGGATACTTGTCGAAATGTTGTGCTTTTAGAATAAAACTAGTGATTGTATCCCACAAAAACTCTGTTCTGTTAATGTGTAAATTGCAGTAGCTGAAGAAAATGAATGTTATATTCGAGTCCAGATACAAGAATAGGTATCGACACATCAATATTTCAAATGATGGTAGCTCTTAAAAAAACTTTTTCATTTCTAACTATCTCACTAGCGTCAGACTGTCTAAACTCACACTTTTCATATAAAATGTTTTTTTCTCAACAACTGTCAAATGGATTTAGTTCCTTTAAAATCCATTCAAATTTAAATATAACCAGAAAAAATTGAATCAAAGAAAAAAAAACTCAAAGAAAACGTGACACTTTGAGATATTTCTGGACCAATCGAGCACATTAAGACTTTAAAATAATCTCAAGATTTATGAGTACATTAGAAAAGGTAAAATGGTCAGACAAACTAAACATCATGTTAAGTATATTTCTCCTACATGGTTAGTAGAGCTATAAATATATTTCTAGAGAGAAGATGGATCACGTCAGATATTCTATGAACTAGGATCAAGAAAGAAGAATGTATTCCTGCAACCATTTCTTAATTAGTTTCATGATGCATCCTACGCAAATATTTCAGAAATTGGAAAAATAAAACCCTACCAAAAAAACAACCAAAATACATTTATCATTTATCCTAATAAACACCTCAACTCAACAACTCTGAGGTTAGCATTTGTATTTAGGTTCCATCTCTCTCACTCTATTGGAATCAAGTTATCATGCATGTTCCAAAGCATTGACGAACAATTGAACATCAGTCAAGATGTTCAACTGATGAACATTCTACATCAATTAGGAGTCGAGTTATTGTGTTCCAATAGATTTGATGAATAGGAGAACAAAGACATTTAAAGCATACCCTGCTTTCTGCAAAAGGCGATAGACAAAAAAAAGTTTAAAATCGTCAATATTCAATTTAATTAATATGGTGTATTTTTCAAAATCTGAAATGCGAAACAGGGAAAATATGATAAGGGAGCCAATGCCCTTCTTTGGGAAAATTTCTTTTAAAAATTGCTTGTATTCTAAAAAGAGAGAGAGAGAGAGGGGGGGGGGGGTAACGTCCATTCGACACAAACTAGGTCATTTTGGGACTAGCATATAGTTTAATTTCATTTCAATAATTCGCTTGCGCGTAGGGGTCTTTAGCAGTGGGAGGAAACCCACGAGGTTGGACAGGCAACCCTACTCCTTGTACTCCTTGTCACGTACAACCGGGGATTCGAAACCACGCCAGTTGACTCAAAGACAGGCCTTATGATACAGCACGCTAACCATTCGGCCATCCAACCCTTGTGTATGCTAAAACTAAATATTCTTTGAAATCTTTAAATATCCCCTCAAAAAAACATCTTGCGTTTTTCCTGACTTCATTTAGACAATTTTGAGGAAGAAAAAAAGAAACACGAAAAAAAAAAACTTAGTCTGGCCTAAACACCATTTATATCTAATCAGTTAAGATAAGATTAATCTATTTCTTCATCTTCCTGTTTTGCCACGTCTGCTCATGACTTTATAACTTCCTTAATTCATACTATTTAAACCTAGCCATTCATATAAATCATCTAATTTCATTCAAAGTGAACGAATGTTCTTTAATATTTTGTCACGTTCAAAGACTGATAAAATGGGTTTACCGTCCACTCAACACAATTTGGGATTATTTTGGGGAATTTTTCCTTAATTCATACTGGTCAATCTTAGCCATTTGTTTAAATCATCGAATTTCATTCGAAATGAATGAATGTTTCTTAAAGATACATTATGGGGATTAGATAAAGAGATGGCGGTTCTCACTATAATAGTTAAAAACTAGATAATGTAAAGGGAATTTGCTGAAAGTTTCAGTCAAATTGATCCACTCTGAACTGAGAATTTAGCGACTGAATTTTGGGTCTAGCCTTGATCATCATTACTAAAGTCGGTACGATAAAAACCATAGTCTCGATTATCCATTTTTTGATTTAAGCGTTGTGCAGCAGATAGAATTCTAATTCAGTAAATATCGCAGGCTACAGATGACATCATGAGTGGATTATGGTCTGGATAAGTTAAATAATGTCTAATTAATAATTTAGATAACATTTCAGGCCTAAAGAAAGACCTGCTTGCATAATGTATGTTTAATATTTTGTCATGTTTAAAGACAGACAAAATGGGTTTAGGGCCTGACAAGGACAGCTGTCTAGTCGTTTGGATGGGACGAAAAACCAAGGTCCCGTGTACACATTGGCATGCACGTAAAAGATCCCATGGCAGTTGGAATTCGACATAAGAGTAGGCCGTAGCACCGCTGCCTGGGCAAAATTTCCCTCATAGCACACTGTATGGCGTATGCCCGTCTTCATTAGCCCAGGTTAGGAGCAGAACAGTAGGACGTTAAACCTCATTTCATTTCATTTCATTTCAAAATTGGCTTACCTTCCACTCAACACAATTTGGAGTTATTTTGGGGAATAATATTGTACATCTAATTCCATTCATTTGCTTCCATGTATCTTTTTTTGAAAAGTTGGAGGAAATCAGAGAACTGAAGGTGATCAGTGAGTAGGATGTTGGTCCGCTAAACTGGAGGTCCCGTGTTTAACCCTTGCATTGGCTGATAAAGTTCATTTGAATTTTT